TTGTGAAGAAGGAAGTAGAAATGCATGGTAGTTTTGCTATCACACCTCAGATGGCAAAAGTTATGTCACAGTGCTTAGTTCAGATGGAAAAGGCATTAAGATATTGTGTGTGTGTGTGTGTGTGTGAGGCCACATTCACATCTTTATAATGCTATATTGTTATAACTGTCTTATGTTATCATTAGTTGTTAATCCTGTATTGTGCCTCATTTATAAATTAAGCTTTATCACAGATATATAGAGTAGGTATAGGTAAAAAGCTTTTGAATTGTGATGCTGGAGAAGACTTCAAAACTATGGTTTTTCCAGTAGTCATGTATGGATGTGAGAGGTAGACTATAAAGAAAGCTGAGCACCAAAGAATTGATGCTTTTGAAGTGTGGTATTGGAGAAGACTCTTGAGAGTCCCTTGGACTGCAAGGAAATCCAACCAGTCCATCCTAAAGGAAATCAGTCCTGCATATTCATTGGAAGGACTGATGCTAAAGCTGAAACTCCTTTGGCCACATCCTTTGGCCACCTGATGTGGAGAACTGACTCACTGGAAAAGCCCCTGATGCTGGGAAAGATTGAGAGCAGGAGGAGAAGGGGAATGACAGATGATGAAATGTTTGGATGGCATCACCGACTCAATGGACATGAGTTTGGGTAAATTCTGGGAGTTGGTGATGGACAGGGAGGCCTGGTGTGCTGCAGTCCATGGGGTTGGAACGAGTTGGACATGACTGAGTGACTGAACTGAACTGAGAAGACTCCTGAGAGTTCCTTGGACTGCAAGGAGATCAAACCAGTCAATCCTAAAGGAAATTAACCCTGAATTAACCTTTCACTGGAAGGACTGATGCTGAAGTTGAAGCTCCAATACTTTGGCCTTGTGATGCAAAGAGCTGACTCATTGGAAAAGATCTGATGCTGGGAAAGATTGAAGGCAAAAGGAGAAGAAGGTGGTAGAGGGTAAGGTGGTTGGATGGCATCACTGACTCAATGGACATGAATTCGAGCAAACTCCGGGAGTTAGTAGGACAGGGAAGCCTGGCGTGCCACAGTCCATGGGGTTTCAAAGAGTCAAATGTGACTTAGCAACTGAACAACATAGGGAAAAGCATAGTACATATAGGGTTCAGTACTATCCATGATTTCAGCCATCCATTGGGGGTCTTGGAACATATCCCTGAGGCTAAGGGGGATTTGTGTATTAGCTGAATTATAACCTTTTATAAGCTTCTATGTACCACTAAAGATCATGATTAGTTTAGGGCCTGGGGTAGTTCTAGATCACTTTTACTAAGTATGTTGATGGTGCAGGGGATGTTTGTGAGTATAACATTACAGATACCTTCGAATTTACTAATTATAAATAATTTTCTCAACATTTCAAGATAGCTAAGTTTATCTTGAAAAGTACATTTTCACTTCACCTGTAAATGAAAATAAAAAGGGTTTTTAATTAACATAGTTGCTTTTTGGTTCTCTTCTGTTTTGCTTTTCCTCTCCATCCCCTGCCCCTTGGAAAATTCTTGATCAGGATCCAGATAATCTAGAACTGAATCCAGACTCTGTGGTTATTGAGCTGGTGACCTTGGTCAAGAAAAATTATCTGATTCTCATCAGTTAAATGGGGATAATGATGCCTCTATGGAAGAATTGATTTCAGATTAGATGTTGTCTACAAGAAACAGTGTGGTCTACACAGGTGCTCCGTGGTAGAAACCCTATTGTTGTTATTTTCTATGAATTAGAACAGTGTTCCTATTTTTTGTCCTTTTCCTATTTTTCAAAAATTTTTAATACATATTTATAAATAAGTATAAAAATAAGGCATAGGTTCAGTGAATTAACATTTTATGTTCAATATAAACAAAATTTAAAAACTTAAATGATATAAAGTTGACATTAACATTTTTTCTAAATAGTAATAGGAATTAATAGTTTTTTCCTTTAATTGGCTTTATAACTGTGATGTGATTAAATACATATTATTTTATATAGTCTTGAGTTACTCATTTGAAGATATGCCTCTCTGTTGTTTTTCATTCATTTTGACACTTGACTTTATTGGCTATCACAGTTGAAAAATATTACCTCACATATAACAAACTAGATAAAAGTATATTTCCAAATGAATCATGATGTTAATTTTTCAGCTTTATTGACCAGAAATGCAAAGGTTTTTGATAAAATGTAGTAAATTTCTATCATCTCTGAGTCAGTTTTATTTGCAAAGTAATTGATTAATGACCCATTTCAGTATTATAAAATAAGTCCAAAATCCATTGAAACTCTACATTTACCAATTTACTACATATATTTTAAAACTATGTTTCCAAGTTGTAGAAGTATATAGATATGTAAATTCTTATGAGATTATGCACATATCAATTTTGGCAATAAAATTACATAATGATTGGAATATTTCCAAACATTTGTTTGCAAACTACTCTTATATTAGCACAAGATTTGTTCTAAAGTAGTAACTTTCTCATTCATCATAAATGAACTGACAATACCAAGTATCAGGTAAAGATGTTGAGCATCCTGACATGTGATGGTCGTGTAGTGCAACCTCAATCAAAACATTGGTCATTAATAAATTCTAATTATTTCTCACTGCTAGAGTGAATAAACGTCAGCTTAAATATTTTTTTCTTTTCCCACCTCAAGGATAGTCTCATGTCCCTTCCCTACACTCAAATGTGGAATAAGTTGCACATTAGGCCACCGTGATTATCAGTGGGATATTTGATCCATCAGTTCCCAGAGGAAAATGGATACTGATGATTTGGAGTAAGAGTTGACAGGATTTTCTTAAAGGGCCAGATAATATTTTAGGCGTTGAGGGCCACATGGTCTCTAACACAGCTACTCAACTCTGCCAATGTAACCTGGAAACACCATAGACGATATGTGAAAAAGAAAGAAAAATTAAAATTAAAAAGACTTTTTTTTTAATTTAAAAGTTTGGAAATACTTTCAAAAATTAAAAGTCTGATTTCAGTAAAACTTTACGTACCGACACTGACTTGACTGACTTTGATTTTTATGTAACTTTCATATGGCATAAAATATTGTTCTGCTTTGGATTTCTTTTCAGCTGTTTAAAACAAATTTTAAATAGCTTATGGTCCATCCCAGAAAAAGCAGCAAGATGAATTTTTCTCAGGTCTTAGCTTGCAGATCCCTTACTTAGATGATAATGACCTTGTAGAGAATCTCAGCCTGAAATTCCACAGTCACGTACATTATTCCAGTAGACTGTCAAATTACAAGGATGTTTGCTTTTATTGTCCCTTTAAGAAATACTAAATATGAAAATTTAATAGCAAAGACTTTCTTCCCTCTCTGACATAATATTAACTGATAGAAGTTCTAATACGAGGAGTGAAGGTATTAGTCACTGTGTCGTGTCCAACTCTTTGTGATGGACTGTACCCCACCAGGCACCTCTGTCCATGGAATTCTCCGGGCAAGAATGCTGGAGTAGGTAAGCATTCCCTTCTCCAGGGCATCTTCCTGACGCAGGAATTGGACCCGGGTCTCCTGCATTGCAGGCAGATTCTTTACTGTCTGAGTCACCAGGAGGTAGGCTTACAAATTATTTGAGGCTGGATCATCAGTAGCTGCAATGTCAGTAAAAGCCACAGTGCTTTTCTGCATGATCTTGTTCTCATTTGATTTTTTTAAAAAAAGATTAACTTTATCTTGGAAAGACTGACATAACCAAAGCAGTGGAAAATATACTTCTTTGGGGTCCAGTGGCAAAATTTCTGTGACTCCTTCCTGGGTTTCTGTGGGTCCTGACACATGAAGGAGTGTGTGTTCAGTGGTGTTCTAGAAAGTCAGAGGAGCAATTAACTGCTCCTAACAGCACAGCATTTTGGAGGCAGGTTTCCAAGTTTGGTTCTCCTCAACTGTCAGCAAGAGATGCAACTGGCACATCTTTCACCTGACTACTGAACTCTCTCTCTCGTTCTTCCATCATCCAAAACCAGCTGTCTTTCCTGTGATCAGTTGTACATACAGTTTCAAAATTCTCATTTACGTTTAGGCCGAACAGTGCACAAAATCATGCAAAAAGGTAAATTTATGGAATGACTTGATCCTGTTGTGTGCCTCCCAGCCATCCAGCCCCAAGTCAGGGGATCTCTCAGCCACAGCAGTACAAAAAGAGGATGAGGGCCAGGCATTTCCTATCAAGGTAAAATCTGTCCTGCAGCATCACTCACCTTGGCTCCATCCCCAAGAACATCTCCTGCATTCTGTGCTTCATCCTAGAATCAGTGCTTTACAACTAACCTTGCCCTCTCCCTCTATTTAGGGTGTGTACAGGGTTGAATTAGGAGACCTGAAATAAGATAAGTATAAACAGGAGGAGAAATCCAAGAAAAAAGCCAAGTTGGGCTTGCATCTAAACTCCACTCCTCATTATAGATGGAAATAGACACTTAGTGAGCACCTGCTCTGTGTTGGAAAATTCACAGAAAGTCTTTTGGTTGTTAAAATAAACAAGAAGAGATGAAAAAGTGCCTCTTATTTAGCTGATGCACAGCGGGAAAGAAAAGCAATTAAGGAGACAAGGGTATTTTTTTAAATAGGGCTTTGTTTCTCATTTTATGCAAGAGATCACATTGACTTTGTTGAACGTTTGATTCCATAACAGCAGCAAACTCTGCACGCATGCTCAGGTGTTTGATGTGAGTGCTTCAAGCAACGTGGTAGTCTACACTCAACCTGAAACAGTATACTGCATACTGGTTATGACTCCGGAAAGCAGGGCGTCAGTTCTGTTTTCCAGAAAGCAAAGAGGTCACAGTTGCTTCTGAGCCATGAGTTGCAAAACCACCAAATGGAAGAGAGGAGCAACTCTTTAACTGTGGTTCTACTTAGTGAACCTCTGAGCAGTCATCGGAATGTGATCGTTTGTCGGACAACTTAAACAGTAATCAGAAAAGATGTGCTTCTAACATAGCCTCCTCATGTGTTTGTCTTTCCTTGTGATTCAGGAGAAAGGATGCTGGTTTCTTATCCTACAAAGATCACCTGCCGGTCAGCCAGGTGGTTGTTGGAGATACCGACCGGCAAGGCTCAGAAGCCAAACTGAGTGTGGGTCCCCTGCGCTGCCAAGGAGACCGTAAGTGTGCCTACAGTGGCGGCTTGCACCTTCTTATCAATTTTAAACAGTGTTTCCCGGCAAATCAGAGGTTGGTAGAAAAACAGATTGCTCTTTGGTATAAACAGAGCCAAAGAGAGGGCTGCTGCTGCTGCAGCTAAATCGCTTCAGTCGTGTCCGANCAACTCTGTGCGACCCCATAGATGGCAGCCCACCAGGCTCCGCCGTCCCTGGGATTCTCCAGGCAAGAACACTGGAGTGGGTTGCCATTTCCTTCTCCAATACATGAAAGTGAAAAGTGAAAGTGAAGTCGCTCAGTCGTGTCCGACTCTTCATGACCCCATGAACTCCAGCCCACCAGGCTCCTCTGTCCATGGGATTTTCCAGGCAAGAGTACTGGAATGGGTTGCCATTGCCTTCTCTGAGATAGAGGGCTAGGTAGACCTTAATACATAGAGGAGGGTGACAGCTATAACGTCTCCAGTATAGGAGACTAGATCTGGGCATAAAGTGTGGACATTCATCTTTCTTGTATATTTGTAGGTAACGACTGTGACTACCTAAGTTGATGGTGATATGAGTAGCAATGCTAATGGCATAAGCAGCACTCAACAGCTGTGATTCCACTGAGAGCTGCTGTTAATGCCATTAGCATGACTATTTATATCACCATAAACTCAGTTTATGGTGATATAAATAGTCACATTATGGCTTAATGTATCATTGTAAACTCAGATTATGGTCATATAAAGTTTGACATTATTGCTATCAAGTTTCATCATCATCAGAGCTTGATGGTCCCTTGTAAGCCAAAGAGTGTTTCTGTAACTACATCTTGCTTTCAAGTTTCGGCACCACAGAGAGGAATTTGGGGCTGCAGGAAGTCAGGGAGTGAGAGCAATGATCCCACCTAATTAAGGGTACCTTTAGGATTTTATGCTTTGCAATACCCTCCAGTGTACTTTATGTGCCGTCAGAGGGAGACAGTGCCAGGTTGCTTTGGGGATTCTGTGATGAGCATCCTGGGTCTCATTTCCCCTCTTTTGTCTGTACACGTGATTTGGGCAACTCTTCCGGGAGTTCTGTGCTTTTGTGATTGTGTTCAGGGCATCAGGAGACCTGGATTCTGTTCCCTGGGTAACTGACTTGCCTGAGGCCTCAGGCAGATCCCCCTGTTTTTCTCAGCTGTGGTGCTGAGAATACCACCCACATCCCAACTTCTCCTGAGGAGGCCATAAAGATTTTAGTGCCCGGATCTGGATTCCTCCTAGCGAAGCATTCTGTGAGATGGACTGTTATTACCACTTCCATAAATCAAGGGAGAATTAGACCTATTCGATGTAATAAGTTATTGCATCCACTCAAGGAGGTGTCCTAAGGAATGTAACGATGCATGCTCAGCTGCTTACTGCTTACTACATTGAGGCTGTCGGTAATTAAACCACACGATGTTCCAGATACAAAGGAGAGATGGAGCCTGTTCTGATTTTTCTCTTCTTACATACAGAAAATGAATGCACTGTCCTTAAAATTAAGTTGGTCAAAAGAACTTTATCATGCATTTACTAGACAATAATCCTTCTTTTGTCTAGTCAAGTTTAACAGAACTGTATGATAAGAAATTAGTTTTGACTGCTTAAGTAAAAGATATTGACAGAAGATAATAATGTAGGTGCATTTTTAAACATATTTTGGGAGATGGTTTATAGTGTCATGCTCAAAATAGGCAGGTTCTCATGTGCTGGCCAATGAAAATCAGTTTCTTTCTGTCATAATTACTCATTCATATATAAAGGTAAAATATTTCTCATTTATCAATTCTAATTATGAAGTTAGCTTTGAATTAGATAGGGGTTCCCTTTAAATAATGGATTAACTCAATATAGTTATGAAATCCAACTTCTGCAGATTTTAGTTACCATTCTTAAAGAAAAGATTCCGGCTACATTAAATAGTATATGTGGGAGTATATTAACAGTTTGTAGCTAATATTATCATGTTTTCTCATACTAAATCAGTCCTCAGGAAGAATTTATTAGGTGTCTGCTATTTGTCTAGCACTTTACTAGGTGTTCTGTGAATTAAAAAAAAAAAAAAAGTTCAAGTAATGTTTTGTGAAAAGCACATACAAAAGTTTTGGAAAACACACAATGTTTGATAATTTAATAGATTTGTGATGTAAAAGTACTGCAGCTGATGCTCAAGAAAGACGTGATATGTTTCAGGAAGACTTTATATTTTAAAAGGGAAAATAGGAGAAGTCTGGTAGTCAGTGTTCATTTGCATTTTTCTCCCAAGGCTGTTGCTCTTAGAAACATTCTTAGGACGTTTGATAGACAAAGAGCTGTCCTGTTCACTGACACTGTATGGCCTCCAGCTTCTTGTAGGACTGCAGCTTTAGCAGTACTTCTTAATCCATATTTTACCTGATATTTCATGCAAACAAAAGCACAGTGAATCTTTAATTGCAATTACATGGAATATTTTTGTGTCCGAGAGAGAGAGCAATCTTTGGTTTTTGCAGGCAACTGGCAATATTCCATACCTCCTACCTGCCAGATAGCAGTTAGCAGTTTTGATGCCCACCTTCTTTTTCAGAATGTTCTAACATGGACACAGTAAAATGCCCACATCATAGCATTTCCCAGGTTTTACACATGTGTGGTTTCCTTGGATACAGCCCCCTGTGAGCTGGGTAAGGAAAATATTAGCCTTTATGTTTTATAAATGAACAAAATATTTCTTTGAAAGTGTCATTTAAGCAAGAAACTTCTGTGCCCCCTCGTGAGGCTCCCAGAGGAAAGACAGAGCCAAGAATATACTTTGCTTCCTCCGCACAAGGTCAGCCTTGTTTCCTTGTCTCTATTTGCATCTCTAAGTCTACAGCAGAAATTAAATTGTTTAAAATATATGTCATCTGGGTCTCTCCCCACCCTCATCCAGTTACCAATACTGCGCGAAAGTTGGGGGAATTACATTCTAGTTTGTATAACTTGAAAAGTGACATCGTGCATATATCCTCTTGTTTGTAGAGATTAACTCTGTGTCATTTACTGAAGTCTGTGCCAAGCTACAGCTTAAAAAACCAAATCTGCTACTGAGGAATGTCTTTCTCTATTTGAGGACTTGAATGATGACAGAAGCTGTCTCTTGAATTAGGTCTGGTCCTATCCCCCCAGTCTCAGAGAATGAAACAATTTTTGTGGGCTCTGACCAACCGTTTCGGCGGCTTCGGTTGATTTCATCATGCCTGCTGAGTTTCATTTTTACTTTGATTCATCTGAACTCATAGACCCATATAATCAAAATGCTAAGAAAAATCAGTGAATTCCAGAATCTGCTGCATTTCCCATATAGCACTATAAAATGCTGATGCCCTCAGATTTTGGTGTCTTATTCAAACACATTCAAATGGAAACCTTAAATCTAAATGAAACTGAAAGTGTGACTGAGGACGGATGGTTAGCTAAGATAAAAAGTAGCATATAATTACGCATCTTCCCCCCAACCCTAAATCGCACATACTCACCTAGGAGAAACAATGGAGCTATTTAGAGGATCGAAAGGGCTGATAGAGTAAAAATTGTTTTCAAATTTAAATATATAATTATTCTTGCAGGAGGTTGCTGAGCTTCTGTGGAATTAGTTCAAAAACAAATTATGTCAGATTTGGGGGGTAGAAATCCTTTTTGTAACTATATATAGTGACTATAATTAGTTGTAGAAGGAAAGTACTTGCTAGATAATTGTCTTATTCCCAACCATATGAGGCAAAGAGTCCCCATATCTCCTATAGGAATACAGGGACTTTAAACAATTAATTAAGAGCAAGTTTATTACAAAAGCAAGTGTTTTGAATACACCTGGGTAGAAACAATCAGGAGAACATGCTACTCAAGGACTTCTGTGTGCTAAGTCATTTCAGTCTTGTCCCACTCTTTGAGCCTCTATGGACTATAACCCACCAGGCTCCCCTGTCCACAGGATTCTCCAGGCAAGAATACTGGAGTGGATTGCCATTTCCTCCTGCAGGGGATCTTCCCACTACAGGGATCGAACCTGCATCTCTTGTGTCTCCTGCATTGGCAGGCAAGTTCTTTACCACTAGCGCCACCTGGGAAGCCCCAAGGACCTCTGAGTCCGGGCCAGAAACCCACCTGGCTTGTCAGCATGGCAGGCAGAGCACTGTAGTCACGGTGGACGTTCACGATGTCAGTTCAGGTTCTTAGAGCTGCAGACGTGACTCTGAGAGACCAAGAAGAAAAGGTAAGGCAGACGCCATCCTATTTAGGGACACTGCAAGGGCAGAGACAACAAAAGAAATAAAGATGATGATGGAGCTTTATCCAAATGACAGTGGACACGTGTTCTTTGGGAATGCAATCCTGTGTGCCAGAGATGTATAAAGGCCACCCTCTCCTGTAAGATGTTTACAAACCAGGGCCTTCCCTTACCAAGAAGGACAGAGCAAGGACTGTATCTAGCATGTTGTTTCTCCAAAGATAAGACACTCGGTGGGGGGTTCAAATGAGTATCATTCCCCATAAGAGGGCCCCAGGGGCTCAGACAGGCCCTTGCCTTTGCTGTTTCAGGCTTGGAAGAGACAAGAAAGTGAAAGGGCCCAGTATGCAGTGATGCTGGTGGTTTAAAAGCTCAGTCGTGTAGTTGCGACCCCATGGACCGTAGCCCACCAGGCTCCTCTGTCCCTGAGATTTTCTAGGCAAGAATACTGGAGCGGGTAGCCATTTCCTGCTCCTGCAATCTTCTCAACCCAAGGATCGAAACTGCATCTCCTGCATTAGCAGGTGGATTCTTTACTGCTGAGCCGTCAGTGAAGCCCCTATGCAGGCTGTGAACAAGCACTTTATATTCATTTCCTCCCGATTCTTCCAGCACCCTGTATGTGGTGATATCTTTGTGTTTTGTACCAAGGAGAAAATAGAATCAGAATTATTGTGTGGTTTGCCATTAAGAGCTGGAGCCAGGAGATCTGGGTGGTTCCAGAGCAAATCCCAGAATGG